CCCCCTGACAGCCTCCCCTCTCATCACCTGGCATGTGCCATCTTAGTCATCCCAGCTCTCCCACCTGCCCCACCCCAACTCTGAAATATCCTTTCCCTATCTTTCCCTCTCCTTCTTTTCTCTTCCTCTTTCCTTTTCTCTCTTGTCACTACCCCCTTTCACAGTCTCCCGTTTTATCACCATCTTAGCGGCTCCAATCATCCCAGCTCTCCCACCTGCGCCAGCCCTCCTTTTTTGTCCTCTGATTCCTCTTTGATTTGAACCTGCTATGTCTCCCACATGCCATCAATGGGCTCGGTGTGTCATGCCTATATACATCATGATTCATATCGCAAATTCAATGCATATATGATGGCACACACAAAAAACACATCTGAGTGTATATGATGGCTCCTCACAATGTGCCATCTATACGGTCAGAAGCCCTTTCATATGCCGCTCCGCAGGAAAAAGTAGCATATGGAGCACTTTTACTTGTGCCATCTTTTGGTAGGGGGGTATATATATATATATACTGCATCCATGAACCCTAGTGGCCCTAGCACTTGGTCGTCGACTGTGGGCAAATGAGAGAATGAGAGAGACCCAGGGCGGGCATGCTGATGCTGAGTCTGCTCAATCATGGCCGCGATGTCGCAACGGCCACCATTGAGTCACATCAACCACAAAAAAAAGCTCAGCGCTTAAGCTGGATTGCTTATCCAGTGTCCATTAATTGGCATTCAACCCCACCCTTCTGCAGTCCTACAGGTCCTTACTTGATGACTCTGTGAGACTCTATGTCTATGTCTCTAAGGTGCCCGGCGGCTACCTAGATCCAGCAAACCTCAGCTTGCGACTTGATGCTCCAAATCGACAGCGATTTCGGCTGAGAGCGTGCTTTCCAACCCCAAAGCCATGGCGCGTGCAGCCATGAGCACATTGGTCAAACTAGTCCAACTCGCCCAGGAGTCGCAACGTTCAAAGTGCTGGCTCCAGCTGTCTTAGGTACTGGCCGGGGCTGGTGTTCACCTCAACTTCCGAAAACCACCACTGCTCCGCAGTACGTGCCCGATGTGCCCGCAAATGTCACAGGACGCTGCTCTCCGCCTCTCAGCCGCCGGCCACCACACAGTGCTCCTCCGACTCTTTCTGTGTGTCGACGGCCACGGACCTGATGGCTGGCCCTCCGTGGGGGTCAAAGGAACAGGAAGTCCTCTTGAAGGGACGTGGTCCCCTGTCCACGCGACCCAAATAGGGACCCGGGTCACTGCTCGAAGGTCCTGTCCTCAGCTCCAGACGAGATCACTGCGGTTGGGAACTGTTCGAGATCGGCTAATGTATCCACCAGCCTGCGAGGCACTGGGACGATCCGTGCCACCGGGCATGGGTTCAGACGCGCAGCTTTAACGCACACACCCAAGCAGCAGGCGGGCGAAGGAACAACACAAACCCGAGCATGAGACCGCATAATCTTGGCAGTTTTATCCTAGACTCATTGAAAAGAATGAGTCCCCTCTGACCACCACGATCATCAACCCTGGGAGTCAAAGACTATACAAATCATGGTCTTTTGTCTTGAGGTGACCCGAGAAGGGAGTTCCTTTACTTCAATCGCTCGAAAGATCTTCTTTGGACTTCTAGGGGCCATGATTCGCCATTCTGACACCTCATCTCTGACTCATCTCCGAGGCCCCGGACACCCGATGGGCCTCACACGGGCCGCGCGCGGCGCGCCGCCCCACGGCGCCGAGCCACGGCGCCGCTGGGAACTGCAGGAGGTTCTCCCCCCGCGAGCCCATCATTCCTTGACTCTCGACTCCAGTTTCGATTTCCCACTGGGCTGCCCTGGCCCTTGACCGCTTCTCGGGGCGAGGGCGCCCTTAGAAGTTGTGTGTGAAGGCATCGTCCACTACGGAATCGACTGCTTGAGCGCAGAGCGCGCGACGTTGAGTGCCTGGCCAGGCCCCTTGCTCTCCTTCAGGGAGGACAAGGCCTCACCAGTCTCCTCAGGCGAAGCTCGGACCGACCTCCGAACCGACCGCGGGGGAACGAACGACCGGAACCGAACCGAACCTAGCGTGGCCCCGTTCCAACGCAGGTGCTGTCTGGCTGGACACTCCCCTCAGAGTTTGACCTGGAAGTTCCGTTTTGGTAGGCATATAGTTATATATAAACACTTCATGACCCTCGGAAATTCCTAAAACTGCGGCCTGCTTGTGTTCCATGGTTTCGGAGGCACCGCAGTCCCGCCTTCAAGTCGTTCAAATCGTCAGCCCAGGCAGCTGCAACAACCACCTGCCATGTCAGCTGCACATCCCTCTGCAGCACTGAAACATGAAATAACAACCAAGCAGAAAAACGGAAGAGTGAGTGTAGTCAGCCATCACTGGGAGGCTCTGGAGAAACAAAACTAGACTTACGTAGATCCTAGCAGATCCTTGCTCATTTTCTACGTTCCTGCGATTCTATATAAACAACTTTGGACTTGAAGTGCTGAAGATCCAAAAGTGGCGTGTTCGTGTTTGCTGGGTTCTTCCCTGCTCCAAAACACAACAACACAAAGCCCAGGTCATCCGGTAACGTCCTTCACTTGTCAACTGGGAACCTGGTTTCCGGGTGTCAAACCTTCGAAGGAATGCATGTTCTTCTCCGAATTCAGTTTCTCACCGCGGCCGCGAGTAGCAGCCCCTTCTCTCATCCCAAGAGCTGCATGGTGCAGCCCAACCGGCCGGCCAGCCGCCCTGGGCGAACGCGCACCTTCATGGGCTCCATTGGCTTCAAAGTCTCGTCATATGGCCTGACCGGCTCCCATCCAGGCGCGCCGTGCCCCATCTCTTTGGCTCCCATCAGCTCGGTGGACGTTCGGTTTGGGACCCACGGTGCAACACATGCCCCAAAGCGGGCCAGCGGGTGATGCGGTCTTGACCAATTCAGGGGAAGAAACGGATCCTTGGGAGAAGAGTGCACGAATCATCTGGAGCCTTCTGGAGAATTGCTGCTACGGTGCGCAAAGGCGGAGATATGTGGAGATGTCTAATGAAAAGGACACTTCGAGAAAGATTTGCAATAAGGTGATGATTTCCAAAGAAGGGTATGGAAAAATATTGCGAAGCACTTCAACGACGCATCGTCTTCGGCACAGTCGCCATGTCATCAGGTCTGACTCTGCAGTCGACCTTAGAAGGTCACAATTTGGGACCCCCGATTTGCCTAAACCCAACAGCATCAGAAGCGACTGGGGGCATGCCTGCTACAGAAGTTCTTCAAAATTGGGTCAGCTACGTCTGTCAGGGTGCAGGTCGGGTGAACGGAAATGGGAGTTGGTGGAACCACCATGGGGTGAGCAACATAACATGATGTGGCGGCCAAAGGAAGTCGGTCTCAAAGGCTTAAAGTTTAAAGGCTTGAACTGGAGCCCTGAAAACCCCAACTTCAAAACTCAAAGCCATTTCACAATGCACTATGACAATGTATGTATGCATGTATGTATGTATGTGTATGTGTATATATATATATGTATATATGTGTATGTGTATGTGTATTTGTATGTATATATGTATGTGTATGTGATTGTATGTGACTGTATGTAATTGTACGAAATTGTATGTATGTGATTGTATGTATGTCTGTCTGTCTGTCTGTCTGTCTGTCTGTCTGTATGCATGTATGTGATTGTATGTGATTGTATGTATGTGATTGTATGTATGTGAT